ATGTATGGACTGATTACCGTGGCCAGGCTCTGTGCCCAGCACATGTGTTTGTTACCTTATTCAATCCTGTGAGGCAGCTGCCATCTCCATTGGGCAGATCATGAAACCAAGGTACAGAGAGGTGGACCAACTCCCCACGTCCTCCAGCCAGGAAGAGGTAGAGAGGGGACATGAACTGAGGCTGTCTAGCTGCAGAGCTTCACCCTTGCCCTTAAACATTTTGCTATTCTGCCTTCTCAGGGAGAGAGATGAGCAGGGAAAGGATGACAAGCTGAAAGTGGATTTTAAATGGCCACTGACAATCGAGGGGTTGTCACACTAGGTGGCAATGTTCCCTCATCCCAATTCCATTTGAGCAGCCCCCTTTGTACACCACGCAAACCTTGATGATACAGGAGAACCAAGAACCACTCCAAAGGTCTCCTCCTCTGATCCTCAAGACTTAGAAATGCAGAAGGAAAAAAACCTCAGCAGTATTTATCTGTGATTGTTGCTACTGTGTATTCTCTTTCCTCTCACTTTGGATCTTGATATTTCTCTTCCATTTTGGCCTTTAGGGCAGCCTAAAACCTGCTACTAAAGTGCCTGCTTATGGAGAGGAGCCTGACAGAGCCACATTTGCCAACATCCTTGCTTCCAAGTGTCTGCGATAGGGACATTCACATAAGAGGCCCCTAGATCTTTGTTAAATCCAGACAGTGGACAAGATTTTTGGACTCCTTAACTCCCTTGGCACAAAGCTCTCTCCTTCCTCCCCACCTCCAAGATTGATTGATTGATTGATTGATTGATTGATTGATTTGAGAGGGGGAGAAGGGCAAAGGGAGAAGAGAGAGAAAATCCTAAGCAAACTCCATGCTGAGTGCGGAGCCCAACGCAGAGCTGGATCCCAGCACCCTGAGATCACGACCTGAGCCGAAATCAAGAGTCAGACACTTAACTGAGTACGCCACTGAGGCACCCCTCCCTCTATTTTTAATTGTAATAGTTATTGAGATCATTGTAGATTTACATGCAATTATAACAGAGGGATCCTGCATATCATTTACCCAATTTCCCCCAACGGTAACATCTTGTAAAACTAAATTTTACAATTGGGATATTGACAACAATACAATATGTTGATCAGATTCTTCAGTTTTTCTTGTACTCATTTGTCTGTGTGTGTGCGCGCACGCGCGCACTTAAAATTCTGTACACTTTATCACACAAGTAGGTCCACGTGTCCACCACGGTTAAGGTACTCCATCACAACAAGAATCCCTCCTAGTGCCCTTTTAAAGCCACACTTAACCTATCTCCTCCCCCATCCCTATTCCTCACCCCTGGCAACTATTAATTGGTCTCCATTTCTATAAATCTGTCATTTCAATGTTGTATGAATGGAATATATAGTATGTAACCTTTGGGGATTGTTTTATTCAGCATAATTCCCTTGAGATTCACCCAAGTTCCTGCATGAATCAATAGTTTATTCCTTTTAATGTCTGAGTAGTTACCCATGGTGTGGATGTACCACTGTCTAAGCACTCACCCACTGAAGGCTATCCGCATGGTTTCCAGTTTGGGCTGTTACAAATAAGGCTGCTACAAACATTCATGTACTCCTCTCTCCTTCTTAATTGCTAATTGATACAGATGCTCTTACTTCACGGAGATCTTGTTCCTGCTGTGGCAAACGTGACTTGTCACCACACCATCCTTTCTACGCCAACTCCTAGTGGCTTTGGATAATGTGCCCAGATGCTCCCCTACAGATATTTATCACTAGACAGGAACCTCCAAGACTTTCCCCTTAAAAAATAAAATAGAACAAATGTGAGTTTGGGAGCCAGACAACCTGGGCTCACACTGCAGGGGCTCTGCCACTCAGAGTTGTGAAATGTGGGGCAAGTCACTGAGCCCTCTGGGACTGTTTCATAACCATCGTAACAAAGGAGCTAATAGTCGTTACGGTGGCGTGATGTCATAGCTAAAAGCCGAACTCAGGTGCCACGCTGCCTGGGTTTGCATCCTGACTCTACCACTTGTTGACTATGCGACCCCAGGCAAGTTATTTAACCTCTGTGCCTCAGTTTTCTCTTCTGTAAATGGGCATGCTAACAGTGCCTCTCTCATGGAGTTGTGAGGATTAAATTAGTCCATGTAAAACGTTCAGAGCCGTGTCCGGCTAGTAAGCATCAAGCACATATTGCCACTTGGCAGGTGCTCTTCTAAGCCCTTCAAACAGATCATTTTATTTAATCCTATCAGGGATTATAATACAAGTGCTGTTCGAGATCGATTTCACAGATGACAAAACTGCAGTTTAAGGGATTAAGTCACCTGCTCATGATCACAAGGCTGGAATGTGAGGGAGCTGAGGTCCGTTTCTGAGTCTGCCTTTGCTCCTAACTTCTACGCCATCCTGCAGGCCCACACGCTAGGGTGCCACAGCCCAGCCCCGCACAGCAGCTGTGACGATTACAAAGAAAAGTGTGATCTGTGGAGCCTGGTCCTCAAGCTGCTCCACACATGTTAGTTTCCTCTTTTTAACTACTGGTAGTTGATGAACAATAGATCATTCTGCACTTTTATATAAATGGCAAAAACTGGTCTCTTAAGACACAAGCCACCGAAAGTAGTGATTTGAGAGTTTTGATGGATTCATTTGGCAAACATTTGCGAAGCTGAACTGACCCAACAGTTACAACTAGATTTGAGACCTGTCCATCCAACTCAGCCACAATTCATTTCAACAGAGCCTCTGCCTCACTCCCTTTCTTGGAGAGCTCTGCAGCTAAAACGCAGACATTGTTCAGACAGTGGCACCAGCATGAGCTTACAGACAAAAGAGTTCAGAGAATATTTCAATTGTTAAAAAATTTCCTAAAGAGTTGACGGCGGAAGTGACAGCTAGACATGAAGGGACTTTGGGGTTTGGCCAGACGATGTAATCACAAGCAAGAAAGTGGTAACACGGGCTGCAAGTAAAATGGGGAAATGAGTCATGGTGCTTGTGGAATATCAGGGTGCAGCTGGCAAATGATATTACTGGGCAAGTTTTCAAAATTCTCATGTATTAGCCAGAGACCTTGATGACACATTAGTTAAGGTTTGTTATTTTTAGAACTTCATTTCTCAAATGCTTCATTTTAAGTCTTTTATGAAAATGAACATCACATTACATTGGTAAGACATAAAGAGATTTCAATCTTTGACATCTGTGAAATACCACGCTTACTGAGGGCCCCCCGTTTTAATCTGGGCTTTTCCAACCTGAAGACCCACCCTTAAAACTCAGAATACATCTAGAAATAAAGATGTCTATTTCTCAAATAATGATATCAATAGCTATTTATAAACATCTCTCCTTCAAATAGGTCTTTAGATAAAAACACGTAGGGAAGAGAGGGTCCTCACTCGGGGTAGGACAAGGCCTTGTTTCCTGATTATAGGCCTAGAAAAATCCACATTTATGCATCACACTGATTTCAGACTCCTGTGAATGCCAGCTACATGGATTGCAGATTCACATTTCACAAGCCTGTGAATTCAGGTGTCTGTGCCTTAAAAAAACCTATCAAAAGCAAGCAGCTTGTCCTTAACACATCTGCAAGGCATTATATAAAGAATAAACAAGAATTAGTTTGTAGATGTTTCTATTGTTTTAGACCAAATTAATGAAGTCTCTTAATCACAGCCTTTAAAGATCCCAATAGTAGAAAGAGAAGCATCTTACCCCAGTAATAACTGAACATTTTACCAATAAGGTGTTAAGTGAATTGGGAAGGGGGGTAGTGTAGCACATACGAGGACATAGCAGTAAAAGACATGAGAAAATTTAAAAAGAAATAGCACCAAAAGACGAGGTATCATCAAGAAATTACATCCTGTACCCACCCCAAACAGGATGAAGCACACACCATCCAAAAATCATCGCCATAATCCAATAAGTTCCAAAGTATCCCCTGAATTTACCTTCTCAACCTGCCAACGAATTTTTATGCTCTTATCTCTCTCTCTCCTCGATCAAGGAACATTCATTCTTTTTCATTATATTTTAGGTGAAAGGTAGGCAATTGTTACTTAGAATTAATTGGTCCTTTCATCACTGTTTCACTGATGGTCTCCTAAATCCATTAAAAGACATTTGGGTGGGTGGGGGAAGCTGACGAGGGGGATAAGTAAGAAAAAAGAGGCAGTGAGTCACATTTGCCTTTTGTAAGATCTAATCTAAAACTGGTCATATTCAGGGTTGCAATCTGGATAGGTGCATAAAGAGTCACTGTTCTGTCCCCCATATCTATATCCCTCTTTTTGAAAGAAAAACCTGGGGGCTCCTGGGTGGCTCAGTCGTTAAGCGTCTGCCTTCAGCTCAGGTCATGATCCCAGGATCCTGGGATCAAGCCCCGCATCGGGCTCCCCGCTCCGCGGGAAGCCTGCTTCTCCCTCTCCCATTCCCTCTGCTTGTTTTCCCTCTCTCGCTATGTCTCTCTCTGTCAAGTAATAAAAAATCTTTAAAAAAAAAAAAAAAAGAAAAACCTTAGCTATGTTTCTAGATTGAAAAGTAAAAACTGCAAACCACCATTGTACAAGTGTCTGAACATGTGGTAGGCAGTGTGAGCAGCTCCTAAGCCAGGTTCAGACCCAGCAACTGGGCTTGAGGCAACAAATCAAGACTGGCTACACCATCTTTAGTAACCACAGGCAACTGTTTTCTCTGAAAATTCAGAATTACTCACTTTGGGAAGGGTGAGATTTATCTTAAAAAAGAAATGTTCAAAAAGTTTTCTGATCGTATTAGAATATAAGCAGAGTAGCATTTTAGTGCTAATGGGGTACCTTTTTAGCCCAAATCTATTTATTTCCTCCTTCTTACAAACTGCCCCTACCCCCAAATAAGGCAATTACATAGAAATAGTGTTGAGATCACTGTTAGAGCTTTGCTTTGCTATTTCTTTGGTCTGAAAAAGATATTGGGGCTTATGTTTGGAAAAGTAAGTGAAAGGATCAATTGATATAATTATTACATTTTATTTAAAGGTTTTAGAAGATGAATGGTAGAGCTCACAAAGTTACCTCCAACCACAAAGTTGGAGAATTTTTTTTAAAAAGAGTGGATACCAAACAACTTTTCGGAAGATAACACCTTATTAGCCTCTTACATTGTTGAAGAGAGCAAAAGAAGGCTTAAGATTTAAAGGATAAAAGTTATATTTATAAACATGCTAAGGAATACATTAAAACAAAACAAAAAAGAATAAGGAAAAACATATTGTGTCTTTCAGGTTAAATCCTGTTATAAATGATTTCTATGGGACTATAATCCCCTTCAACAATATTCAAATAACAAAAACCCCATCACTAAAAGAGCTCCAATACTCCTTTGGAGCTGGCTATTACAGAATTTATCCTGCACCTAAGGTATGCATGAAAAACATCCTGGAGAGACTCGGATACCTGCCAACATGAAACTGTTTCTCTAAGTTGCACTTGTTGGTCTGGAACCCAGTTGAGTGGGGTTCAACTACAACTTGAAACTTGTCACCTTAGGGTAGGAGAACAATTTGAAGCCAAAGGGCACTTTGCTGTAGTTAATTCATGTGGCTTCGAGTACATTTCAGATGTTCCTCCTTCATGCCAAATATTCACTGAGAATGAAAGAGCACATGAAACTTTCTAACCAAGTCCAAAGAATTTAGGTAATCATTACATTTCTACATACTGTTTCCTTAAAGCCATAGATTTTATTACAGAAAGGAGAAAGGTCATGGCATCAATAGATCAAGCACAGGAATTCTAGAATACTAAATTAAGTTGTTTCTCTCTTGCTTCCCCCACAACCGATTATATCAGTGGGCTACAAAATCATATGGAACCATAACAAAACAGTGTTTTGCATCATGTCCAAGAAAGACCAATATTTTTGCCTGAGTATCCCATTAACCTTTATCTAGAGCTATTATTCTTGAACTTTCTATAAAAGTTTCTTCTCAAATAATTTAATAATTCTAACAACTTGGAAGGGCAATGTGAAGACCTGAATAATTCAGCCAAGCAGCGAATGCAACAAACCTCATTTAAACCTGCTCTCCTGCCTAAATTTTATATACTAAAATAATCCTTTCTCCTTTACTTCTTCAGGCGTACCCAAAAGAGAGTGCATTTCTTGGCTGTCACAAGTTTTGGGTTGAATCTTCTCTGTTCTTCAATGTTCTAACGAAGGCCCTGGGCCTGCAGCTCATGCCTCTGGCAATTCAGTTTTATTCTCAATGAGAGAGATTTCCAGCACAGGTAAGAGCAGCTGAAAGGCATCCTGAATATAGGAAGCACTGTTTGAGGCCTGTCAAGATTGAAAAAAAGAAAATATCACAGTCACTTAAAAGAGAAAATATGCTAAAAGAAACAAAAAAACAGATTAACTTGTACAATCTAACTGAATCTGTAGCCTGGCAAACAAAAGCATGTTAGTTAAATTTAGAGAGGAAAGAACGATCTAGCTCTTAAGATATGACAGTACCAAAAAAGAATATCAGCATTTTTGTCCAACTTGCCCATCAGAAATGGAAGCTGTTCTTTGACATCCTGCTCGAATTCGGCATTTGAAGCTTATTTATTCCTCTACTAAATGGGTAGGTTCTGTCACAACATTTTAGTCAATTACTCAAAGGACTTTAGAAGGCTATGAATCTTACATCAATAGGATTTTCAGTCCATTAGGACAGCTCTTCTTCCATGGACTCAATACAATTAGTGAATACAAGACAGGGACTACAAATACGAACAAGGAAAACTGCTTTCAAAGATGGTAAGTATAGATATATTTCTATCTGGTACAACAGACATATTTATGAGAAGCATCATGGAATCACGATGCTCAGAGTTTTCCAGACTTCATTTATATCTAACAAGTTCTGATCTTCCAGAAGAAAAATAGAGAGTTCATTACATTAAGATAAAAACATGTAATTTCAAGGACAAGAGTGTTTCAAATATGTAATCAAGAACAACCAAATCCAAATAGCAATAAGGAAAACCTATTAAGTGACTTTACCTTTTTTGGATTTATCTATAGCATGTACTCCTATTTAAACTTTAATGTGACATTTGCTGCCAAATTTTCCAACCAAAAGAGACCTCAGAGATCATCTAGTTAAATCTCTTATGAGATTGTCAAGAAGGTAATGCCTAGTCCGGGGTCATACAGCAAATGAGATTGTCAAGATAATGAGATTGTCAAGAAGGTAATGCCTAGTCCGGGGCCATACAGCAAATAAGGGGAGATCCTGGACAGGATGAGCCTCCTGGTTTGTAAAGTTCTGACTATACCACTCTGCCATCTACCAAATCACAGACTTTTAAAAACACTAAGTGTTAATTATCAGAATAATTACCCTGATATTCAAGGGAAACTGTGCAGGTAAGGAATTAAAGGCATTTCCTTGGTGATAATTTTAAAAGAATTTAAAACTAAAGAAGTAACAGTCCAATAGTTAAAAATTTTTTTCAATTCATATTTAAAACCTAACCAATTATCTCCTCTGACTTACATATATTTTAAACATATCACCAAACATCTAAATTGTCTGCACAATTGACAAGACAGAGTTTTTTAAAATATGGAATGCAGAAAGTGTCACACAAGGAGGCAATATAATCGATCATGTGATCCTCTTACATCCCCATTTTCCATGGACTTAAACCACTTACCTCCTTAGATCTAATGGACTGATGAGGATTCTACAAATACAGGTACCTTTGACAAAACAAAGCAAATTTCTTGGCAAGGAAATGATACAACAAAATGTTTAGTCTTGTTTTGTAACAAATCTCCCCTGTATAAACTTCAGTCCTTTCAGAAGCAGTGTTCACCTGTTTGTAATTTTCAGCCCTGCAAGTTTACCCATGGTCTCCAGAAGGTGTTTCATTACTAAGGATCGTCCATCAGGTGCCAGTGGATAGTACTAACTACTGACAGCCTACTGCTGGTCTGCACTTCACGCAGCAGCTTCATCATTACGCTTTGTAATAATGAACAGGGAATTTGCATCAACTACACACCATTTTGGTCATACCTGCATCAGTATGACTAAACTAACAATCTGGTGAAAAACAAAAACAAAAACAAAAGACTGAAGAAGAGCTCATTAATAATACATAATACCCTAAAAGTTAGAGACTTACAATTAACTACTAACCTCTAGAAATACTGCAGTGATTAGGGGATTAAGGATGTCTGCTTTTTCTTTGACCTAGAATAAAAGACACACTGTTAAGTGAGCACCAGTAGGCAGAGTGTGATCCCACTTTGACACACACACACACACACACCACCTCCCCCCCCCCGCACATAATTTAAATATAGAAAAGGTCGGGACTGAGAAAGAGCAAAATATCATCTCTCGAAGTGTTTTAAATTTCATTCTTTATATCCTCCTGTGCTGTCCAATTGACAGTGTATTCCTTTATGGTTTTTTATTGACTTTAAAAAGTATCTTCATTTTGGAAGGGGGGGTAGAAATGATACACATGACCCGAAACTTTAGAACAATTTTAAAACAGAATATGCAGATATGGAACATGTGCTCAAAATACTCAATGGTTTTTAAGATGGGCTGTTTGAAAAACATGGAAATAAATCATGGAAATTTATAACTCCCATGTGTTAGCACTTTATAGTTCACTTGCTGGGTTAAAGTATCTTTATGAAACACATGGAAAGATTTGGCCTCAGAAGATTAACTTCAGGAATCCCAGAAGCTCTTTTAAAGACAATATTAAGGGGAAAAGAGGTAATTCCAGGATTATCCCTTACAGGAATAATCTAAACTCATAAAGTAAAAAAAAATTAATTTGGGGCGGCTGGGTGACTCAGTCGTTAAGCGCCTGCCTTCGGCTCAGGTCATGACCCCAGGGTCCTGGGATCAAGCCCCGCATCGGGCTCCCTGCTCAGTGGGAAGCCTGCTTCTCCCTCTCCCACTCCCCCTGCTTGTGTTCCCTCTCTCGCTGTGTCTCTCTCTGTCAAATAAATAAATAAAATCTTTAAAAAAAAAAAAAATTAATTTGGGCTACACTTTTAAATAAGTTTAAGGGCCCAGAATTTGCTGCCACACCTGACACTTATATACTTATTACAAAGTGATTTTTTTAAATTGAGGTATAATTAACATACAAACCATACTAGTTTCAGGTATACAACAAGATTTGGTATCTACGTAAACTATAAAATGATCACAATAAGTCTAGGTAACATGTGTCACCATACACAGTTACAAAAATATTTTTCTTGTGATGAGAAGTTTCAAGATCTACTCTCTTAGCAACTTTCAAATATGCAATACAGAATTATTAACTATAATCACTACACTGTACATTACATCCCCATAACTTATTTATAACTGGAAGTTTATAACTTTTAATCCCCCTCACCTATTTAGGCCATCCTTCACTCCCCCACCACTGGCAATCACCAATCTGTTCTCTGTACTTAAGAATTTGGTTTTACTACAAAGTGATTTTTATTTGCTCATTTAAAAAGCCCTTGATTTTATCCTAATCCATGGTCACTTATTTCTGATCATGTTCTATAGTTCATACACCTTCAGTAAATTTTTACAATTCCTTTAAAAAGAAAACAAAACATCTTTTTTTTTTTTTTAAAGATTTTATTTATTTGACAGAGAGAGAGAGCAAGAACAGGAACACAAGCAAGGGGAGTGGGAGAGGGAGAAGCAGGCTTCCGCAGAGCATGGAGCCCGATGCGGGGCTCGATCCCAGGACCCTGGGATCATGATCTGAGCCAAAGGCAGGCGCTTAACGACTGAGCCACCCAGGCGCCCCAAACTCTGTTTTAATTACAACTCTCCTCCTGATTTGCAAGTGCAAAGTATAAGGATTGTCACAGTCTAAGTAAGGCGTTGCTCCTTAAAACTAGAGCCAAACTTTGGGGTTTTTATTTTATCAAGGTCTACATTTCCCGTACAGGTATCAAAGAGTAGCACAAAATATACTGCAAACTTCATAAAAAGAGAAAACAAAAATAAGTTGCAAAAATCAGCTCAACACAGACAAGCTGATGCTAAAATTCACATGAAAATGCATAGGGCATAGATAAAAGATCCTGAAAAAAGAAGAACCAAGTTGGAAGATTTACACATCTTAATTTCAAAACTTACTACAAAGCTACAGTAATCAAGACAATATGGCACTGGCATATGGATACACACACATAAAACCAGTAAAATAGGGGGCGCCTGGGTGGCTCAGTTGGTTAAGCGGCTGCCTTCGGCTCAGGTCATGATCCTGGAGTCCTGGGATCGAGTCCCACATCAGGCTCCCTGCTCAGCAGGGAGTCTGCTTCTCCCTCTGACCCTCCCCCCTCTCATGCTATCTCTGTTATTCTCTCTCAAATAAATAAAATCTTTAAAAAAAAAAAAACAGTAAAATAGAAATGAGAGTCCAGAAATAAACCTGTATATCTATGGTTGTTTTTGACAAAAGGGCCAAGACAATTCAGTAGGGAAATGCTTTTCAACAAATGGTGCTGAGACGACTAGATATCCACATGCAAAAGAATGGTGTAACCCACACACACCCTACATAAAAAATTAACTCAAAATGGATCATAGACATACATGTAAGAGCTACAACAAAACTCTTAGAAGAAAACACAGGAATAAATCTTCATGATCTTGGGTTAGGCAATGATTCTTTAGATATAATACCAAAAGTACTGAACAGTGGTAACAGAGAACAGTGACAAACTGGACTTCATCAATATTAAAAACTTTTGTGGAGAAACACTATCAAGAAAGCAAAAAAACAACCCATGGCCTAGGAGAAAATATGTGCATACCATGTACATGAACTTGTAGCCAGAATATATAAAGCATTTTTACAACTCAGTAACAGTAATAAAAAGGCAAATAATTAAAATAATAAATGACAAAAGATAAATAATGAAATAACCCAATTTATAAAATAATTTTTTAAAAAACCCAATTTAGAAGTAGGCAAAACTTGCAAGACATTAAGACATTTCTTAAATTTTTTTTTTTTTTAAAGATTTTATTTATTTATTTGAGAGAGAGAGAATGAGAGAGAGCACATGAGAGGGGGGAGGGTCAAAGGGAGAAGCAGACTCCCTGCCCAGCAGGGAGCCCGATGCGGGACTCGATCCAGGGACTCCAGGATCATGACCTGAGCCGAAGGCAGTCGCTTAACCAACTGAGCCACCCAGGCACCCAGAAATTTCTTAAATTTCTTAAAGACATTTCTCTAAAGAAGACATAAAAATGGCCAACAGTACATAAAAAGAAGTTCAACATCATTAGCCATCAGGGAAATGCAAATAAAAGCTGCAATGAGATACCACTTCATACCTATTAGGACGGCTACAATTTAAAAACAAAACAAGGGCGCCTGGGTGGCTCAGATGGTTAAGCGTCTGCCTTCGGCTCAGGTCATGATCCCAGGGTCCTGGGATCGAGTCCCGCATCGGGCTCCCTGCTCCTTGGGAGCCTGCTTCTCCCTCTGCCTCTCTCTCTGTCTCTCATGAATAAATAAATAAAATCTTAAAAAAAAAAAAAATAAAAATAAAAAAAATAAAAACAAAACAAAAAACAATGGAGAATAGCAAGTGTTGATGAGAATGTGGAGAAACTGGAACTTTCATACACTGCTGGCAAGAATGTAAAATGGTACAGCCACTTTGTAAAAGTTTGGCAGTTCTTCAATGGCCCATATCACCCATATGACCCAGCAATTCCACTCCTACCTATCCACCCAAAAGAAATGAAAACACACATGCATGTTTGTAGCAACATTATTCATTATAGCTGAAAAATGGAAACAATCCAAATGTCTATGAATTGATGAACAGAAAAATGTGGTATATGTGGTATATGTCCATAAAAGATTATTATTTGGTAATCAAAGTAAGTACTGATAATGCTACAATGTGGATGAACCTGAAAAACATTAGACTAACTGAAAGAAATCAGACACAAAATATCACATGTTGTATGACACCATATATATGAAATGTCCAGAATAGGCAAATCTATAGACGGAAAGCAGATTAGTGTTATTTAGCGCTAGGAGAGTGTGGGGTAGAAGGGAATGGGAGTGACTGCTAATGGTATGAGGTTTTCTGGGGGATGATGAAAACTGTCCAAAATTAGATTATGGTCACGGTTGCACAACTCTGTAAATATACTAAAAATCACTGAATGGTACATTTGAAATGGGAAAATTTTATGGTACGAAAACTTTATATTCATAGAGCTGTTCTAAAAAAGCCCACAGAACAGGAGAGCCTGGGTGGCTCAGTCGTTAAGCGACTTCCTTCGGCTCAGGTCATGATCTCAGGGTCCTGGGATCGAGCCCCGCATCGGGCTCCCTGCTCGGCGGGAAGCCTGCTTCTCCTTCTCCCACTCCCCCTGCTTGTGTTCCCGCTCTCGCTCTCTGTCAAATAAATAAAATCTTAAAAAAAAAAAAAGCCCACAGACCAGACAGTAGCCCAATAAAAGGCAAGAATTCTTACCCCAGCAGTTGTTAGGCAGGTGGTGAACTCTTTAGACAGAGAAGACAACTCTTTACACAACACAACTGTCATCCTAGGAAAAGAAGTGAGCAAAGTTTTGTTTTTCTTTCTTTTTTTTTAATAAGCATATTTAACAACTATAAGAAAACAAATCACTCCTGGTAGTAAATGTGAAAGAAGAAAGTTTTTTTTAAGGGAGTAAATATGCCTTCATCAGCTCCCAAATCTATCTGGGGACCCATTTGAGCAGACATTCCTGCTACAGAAAGAGGAGGTTCAGTCCTTGGAAAAACATTTTTTCTGCATAACCCTCTATCAAGTACTAGATTTTCAAGTTAAATCAAGGGAAATAACTTAAAAGATCCTAAATTCCATTCACAAATGTAGTTAAAATAAATATGCATTCATTCATTCAATATTTACTGGTCTATGTACCAGGCACCGTTCTAAGTGCTGGAGACTTACCAGTAAACAAGCAAAGGCCCAGTTTCCATGGATTCTAACTCACTTGATAATTAATGGGGAGACTATATATATGTGCATTTATACACACATATAGCAACTGTACACACACATACATGTATATGTGTACATATAAACACAGATATGTAAGTGGAAAAGTGGAAATCGCCACTTTTCCAAAGAACAGGCTACTGTGAAGTTGTGAGTTCCTCATCCTAAGGATATTGAAGACAAAACCAGCCCCCTGTTGTGGGATGTTATAGAACAGTGAAGAGGTGAAGAAGAGGTCTGGAAAACATCAAGGGCCCCTCCCAATCCTAACACATTAGACACGCCCACACATTTTTTTTCCAATGAAAACTCTCATTATTTAATTAGATTTATTTAGAAAGCAGACCTTTTTTTTTCTCTTGTGACTATCTACTTTCTATTATTTTTGAAATTTTTATTCAAAATCAGCAATATGGTGGGAAAGGGGGCTTGGGGACTTAGCCTGGCCTGGGATTAAATCCCAGTCTGCACAAACTGAGCAGATTATTTCATTTCTCTTGAGTCTGTGTTTCCTCATTTTCTTTAAAGCGGGACTAATCACTTACCTTTAGAGTTATTGTAAAAATTAGAAATGATATACCTAAGTCCCTTAGCATGGTGCCTAGCACATAATTAGCACTCAATAATGAATATAACCATTATTAAGAACTGAGGTTCTTAGAACTATTCTCTGTTTTGGGGCGCCTGGGTGGCTCAGTCAGTTAAGCCTCTGCCTTCGGCTCAGGTCACGATCCCAGGGTCCTGGGATCAAGCCCCGCCTCAGGCTCTCCATTTAGTGGGGAGCCTGCTTCTCCCTCTCCCTCTGCCTGACACTCCCCCTGTTGGTGAGCTCGCTCTCTATCAAATAAATAAAATCTTAAAAAAAATTTTTTTTAAAAGAACTATTCTGTTTTTACTTATGTAAAATTTTATTTTTACTAAAACCAATAATCTGAGAACTTGTTTTCAGATTATCAATAATACAAAACAATTAATAAAACAACCAGCTAACAAAAACATTTATAATGTAGACTTATGGCTCAATGAAAAGAAACAACCCCTTTGGCTACCTAATAACTAAAACCCAAAATGAACAAACCTCTAACCTGTGAATAGCATCTTGTTGAGAGGAAAGTTTCTTAAAACTTTGGAAGGAAGCTGAGAAAACTCTGAGCAATTTGCATCCTTTACAAAGATACCCTTTTATACTTACTGGGAAAGAGTTCTGCTCCTTTCTATAGCTGTCACTTCCTGCTTCTGGCCATGCAGAACCAGAGCTGCTGTTTTGTGAAACAGTTCAATTGAGCAGGCAGTCAGTTCTGCTAGGCTCCGGATTGCAAATGCATGGATATCCTGAAAGGAAAAACAAAACAAGACACTGGGTTTTGTTTTTTGGTTTTTTTTTTAGCCCAGGGGACATGATGTCAGCTTGCTTTTCTCATACTGGAGGATTCGGTATCTTGAAAGCAGCAGAGACCAATGGCTGCCCTTCAATAAACCTCCTCTTGTACCACAGCAGGGATGTCATTTTACAGCTGGGCTCGTAACTACAAAAACAGAAGCTCCCCCAAAGTCAGGTGTGACCATGCCAAAAGATTTAGATAAAAAGTGGCTTGTAGCAGGCTTCTGGGAACTTTCCTCATGACAGAACACACACAAACCCTTAGTCTCTTTTTCTTCACTCCTTCTTTCATCCTACAGTCTGGAACAAGGTTGCTACAATCTTGGATTAGAAGGCTGAAATGACGAGTAGTGATGCAACAAAACAGAAAGTGCCTACGTCCCTGATCGTGATACCCACATCTCCACACCGTTAAAAAAGAAAAAAAAGTTTAGTTGCTTTGGTACCTCTACTGAATTTTTACTGATTTTCTCAGTTTTTTCTGTTTCCAACTGTTTTTCTCCTTCTTCCTTCTCTTCTAATGGCTTGGCCAGAGATGTACTGATCCATTCGTAGGCAGTATTTCTTGCCTAAATAAGAAAAAGATTACTGCCCGTCAACAATTCAATTCAGCTCACCAAAAGGTGACTGTATGCATTGTGCACCTACCAGGCACATGCTAGCATCATGTAAGTCAGCACTCTTGTTCTCACCCAAACATACATTTATCATACATGTATCTACTTACCTTACTACTTCTCTTGACAACACCTAACACCTGTCCACTCATTCCTTCTTGAAATTCTCTAATCCTTTGGCCTTTTTGAAAATTGTAACTTACATAAAGTGCACAAATCTTCAGAGCACAATTCAAGAAATGTTCACATGTGTATATGCCTTTGTAACTGCAACCTAGATCAAGATCCAGAACATTTTCATCACCCTAGAAGAGAAGGTTCCCTCATGCCCCTTCCTAGTCAATAACTGCTCAAACCAAGTCACCATTCCCCTTGCCCAAAGGTAACCATTCTTCTGTCTCACTGTAAATTAATTTTACCTGTCCTAAAATGAAATCTTAAGTCCATTCTAATTTGTGTCTGGCTTCTTATGCCGAACATAGTTTGTTAGTTTTATCCATGCTTCTGCAAGTATCAGTAGCTCACTCTTACTTCTTGCTGTGTAGTAGTCCATTTTATACATATACCATAATTTACCATTCTCCCAATGATGGGCCTTTGAATTGTTTCTGGTTTTGACTTTTATAATACCACCATCTTCCAATTCTTGCCTCCACCCTTATAAGCATTCCTCCTCAGGCTCTTGTATGTATTGATCCTTCTTTTTCAGCCCCTTAAACACCAACATCACCTGGAGTTCTAGGCTTTCTACTTATCTCACCCTACTTCCTCTTCCCTCAACCCATCCTATTTCTATAATTTTAAGTATTCTCTACCTGCTGCAAACTCCTAAATCCTTACTTCCAGCACTGACCTCTCCTGAAAACTGCTTGCTGGACATACATATCAGGATATTTTATAAGCTGATCATTCCTCTTCCCTTCAATGGCTCCCCATCAACCAGATCATGTTCTTTTACATGACTGAAGAAGTACCCATGACCTAAACCCTACTGACTTCTCCAGCTTCATCTCTGACCACTTTCCATTTTAAGAACTGATAATAATGACCTATAATGTGCCTGTTCTTCGTTCATGCTATTCCCTTAGGTTAGAATGCCCTTCCCCACCCTTTTCTTTGCTCTAAATAAAGGCAGCTCTTCGTTTCCTTTCAATCCTCTACCCAGACATTGTTTCTTCCGGGTTACTTTCAAAAACCTTCCAGGAGACTGGGCACCTAAACAACCCTTTTCTGTGTGTCCACAGTCCCCTGAGCACCCCTTCAACTTAGTACTTACCAAAAGACACTGAAATTAAATGTGCCTATCTCCTACATAAACATTGCTATAGGATAGTTACAGAATGTCTTATTTGGATTTGCACACCCAGTGCCTAGCACACTATAGAAGACACCTACTGTTTTTACCTAGCCAGTATCCGTATCTCTTTTCTTTTGGTAGTAGGTTCCAGATTTTTCTTAGTTCATGTGGTTTGGGTAGGACTGCTTCCACCCTCTGGATCCAAGGGTTGGCAAACAATTCAGATTTAGTTACCAAGAATATTAATCCCCCTATCTATACAGTGATTACTTCATGGATGGAAAAGTGACCCCAACCCAGGTCAATGGGCATTAGCCTCAGGACATCTGATAAAATTACTGGGAAGGGAAGCCCTCCTTCTGTTGGAGTTACTCAATTGGGAAAAAAAGTCACCCTGAAGTTGCCAGTAGTCATCCTACCACCATGAGGAAAAGATCCTCTAAGAATAAAGCCAAAACAGAAAAAAGCAGAGTCAAGAGATTGGCGTGGGGATTGGGGTAGAGGGTGGGTGGGGTTCCTGGGTAGATAACCATGCCTGTAGCCAATCTTGCCCCTTGATTTTCTAGTTTCTTGAGCTAATGAATGCCCCTTTTTTCTTAAGCCAGTCTGACTGGAGTTTCTATCATTTGCAACTCTGAGTGTCCTGGCTTCTAAGAAAAGGTTTATTGTCATTAAATGAAGGCATCCACTTGAGGAACTTTATATACATGGAATGTGCTCAGAGCTGTAACTAAGCAATAGGAATCCAGAGAAGACCATGAGAGTAATTCCAGTTGAGAAATGAGAATCACAGGTTTTAATACATATATAGCACTGGGGTTGAGCCTTTAAAATGAACAGACGGGGCTATACCCAAGGCTATAGCATGAATGAGCTAGAGCAGAACCTATATACCCAGACATTCATTTCAAGGTTCTTTCTCCTATGGTACAAGATCTCCCATAAAAACCCTCAAGAACAATCTGGCTCTGATCTATAATTTCCCTATGCATTAACTTCTCAAATTAAAAAATAATAATAACTATATAAAAGACTGGAAACAAGAAAACTCAAAGTGTGCTGAGAAAACTGTGAAGCAACTAGTTAGACCAGAGCAGACGGTGCATTTATTAATTAGTTCATCCATTAAAAATATTTACTACATACTGTCCTAGGTGCTGGGAATACAGTGGCGACTAATATAAACCATGGTCCTGCTCTTCTTTACTCTAGTGCAGAAAGACAACAAACAAATGAGTGAGAAAATAAAATGGAGAGATGGAGAGTATGGACTGGATGAGAAGGCAGGCTTGACTTAGGTGGTCAGGAGGGGTCTCGAAGAGTGAAATTTGAGCTGAAATCTGAAGTTTAAAAGGAATCAGCCGTGCAAATATTTAGACAATGAGAGTTGTAAGTAGAGGGAAATCAGGTGGGTGTACTGAAGGAACAGAAGGAAGACCAATATGGGAGAAGCATGGTAGAAGATGAGGTTGGAGTGGTGAGATTTTGAGAGAAGAGAACAGTGAGAGATGAGGCTGGAAAGAATCCTAACAGATGACTAACAGTGTAAATAGTATGTGAAATGCTCTGCAATTTCTTTGAAGAGATAAAATGAGAGAAAAACCAGGGATTGATTTATCTCAGATTAAAAGAAGACAGAAAAATGGAGAGATAAAGCCACTCAAGAGAAAAAAAACTGATATCATAAATGTAGTATACTTGAAGGAGATATTTTAGTAGGCATAGGACATACTCAAAATGACCACTCCTGTAATAAATACATTAACTGAAGTCATTATGAATACTGTGCCAACTCAAGGTAATTTATCATATCTTTTAAAAGTTAGCAATGCTACCCAGGCCTCACACCCAGAATTCAGTCTGGAACTTCCCATTGGAGAGACCTGGAGACTTAGGAATTAAAAGGCACCTTTGAGTTTAACTTCTCTAACCACTTATTTTTTATCAGTTGGGGGAAAAAAATAAAATGAGGCCTAGAAAAGAAATGGGATTTGCCCACATCACATGTTTCAGAATAAGAATCAGAACTGTGTACTCAGACTCCTGCTTCATTGCTTTTCCCCTGTATGACAGTCTTCCATATAAATCCTTGGGGAAAATCAGGCCCTGACCTTTAACTATTCTACTTCTTATGACTCAACACCCAAAATGTAAACAATGTGAAGACTGCTTTCAGAGAATGACCAGTACTACCAAACAGCTAAGGGGTTACTTGCCTTTTTAAAATAACTTCTTATTATGATTTCCTTGAGTACACAAATTATGTCTTTTTCATTACTGTTTCCCTAGCACCTAGCAAAATAAAAGTTACTTGACATATGTATATTTATCAAATACCTAAATGTATAATACATGGGGCGAACTTCTATAGATAGAACCATCAATGGTGAACATTTGCTATGAGCCAGGGACTCCATAAAAGTTTTGTATGTATTAACACATTAATTCTTCACAAGAACTCTACATCATCCCTATCTCACAGATAGAGGAACTGAAGCAGAAAGGTTAACCAACTTGCTCAACACCACAAAGTAAGAAATGTACATCTGGGATTTTAAGGGCCAATAAGGCAAAGATCCAGCCTTGAAGAAATTTAAGATTTAGGATGGAAGGTGGGGCACCCAGGTGACTCAGTCAGTTAAGGATCCAACTCTTGATTTCGGCTCGGGTCATGATCTCAGGTTGTGGGATCAGCCCTGTGTCAGGCTCCGCATTCAGTGGGGAGTCTGCTTGAGATTCTCTCTCTCCCTCTGCCCCTCCCCTCTGTACACGTTCTCCTTCTCTCTCTCAAATAAATAAGTCTTTAAAAAAAAAAGATTTAGGATGGGAGGTAAGATATACACATTTAAAAAAACAAAAACAACTTATGATACATTTATAAATACATATTCATAAGGTTAAGTGAATAAAGCAGAATGCTAAAGAACATACACAGTATGTTAACTTTTGTATAAGCAGAAAATATATCTGCTTATCTTTAAAATATATTTACTTTATCTAAAAAAAGCACAAGGACATGCCAGAAAGCAAGAAAGTTTAATATCTAAAAGGAGAAAAAGTTACAGAAGATGAGACCTTCTGCCCTCAGCAACCTTAAAGATTTAAGGGTCAAATTGTTCAGGGGGGGATGATGTGGAAAACAAAGGCAGAAGAAAAATTATTAAATTTCCTTACTACCTACAGCCCATTGACAAGTCCTTGAAACAGGCAGAGTGACATTCCTCTAGGGACTCAACTGCCTCGATGTTAATACTTTGCTAAGGGCAAAAGGCAATCCTAGCCTGACTACTCCACCCGCTGACACCAGGATCCTGTAAGTCTACTTTAACATATAAAAATTCCTTTGGAAACTTCCTTTATCTCTAAACCCCCCCAAGATACATGTTGGTAATCATCCCCCAAGCATACAGCCCACATACATCTGAAGGGTCTCATGACTAAGGTTTTATTAGACGGTAATAAATGACCTTTTCCCAACAACAGCTAGCCCCCTCAAGGTCCTGGAAACCTTGCTTCCAAAGTTCCTTATAGACTTACACTAGCCCTAACTCCCCTCCCAACTTGAAAGTATATAAATGGGCCACTCCTCATGACCCCAGTGCAGCTCTTTCTGCCCACGGGTCCTGTTCCTGTGCTTTTAATAAAATCACCTCTTTGCACCAAATAAATAAATAAAGAGAAAATGGAGCAGATGGGAATTATACAGTTTTGACTTTCAGAAACAATGATAATACTCTACATATTCAAAAATTAAATTAACAAGGGGGAAAGCAAATAAATCATACATTCTTTCCATAGGTTGGTCTTATAGTAGCATGGGCAAAGCAATGAAACTATTTCAGATGCATTACAGAACTGAGGAAATAAGGACATGTGCTAATGTTGGGGGATGGGGTTCTTACTGTGGAAGAAGAGAGTACAAACGTGTCATGAGGAAAGGCAAGGCAGGAAGAACCCTGTAGGGATGGACTGAAATTGGAGTTACCAAGATAAACTCATGATCTCCAACTTATGTATGTGTGTACACGTAAAATATGGGGTGTGTTATCTGAGTACATTTCCTAGCTTTGCCCCCAGGGCCTAGAAGCAAAGACACCACAGCAGTGAAGAGCACTCCTAGCACCCACATCTTAGCCTGTACTACTAAAAAGTAACTATGGCTCCTTGAAGACATGGCTGATTCCAGGGCTGGCATATGGAAGGTACAAAGTGAGTCCATGATATCTTGTTATGACAGAAAATAAGGAAATACTCCAAACAATGATAAGTGCATGTCACATAGGAGTCCCTGAAGGACAATTTGAATACCAAACTAACTAAAAACAGTAATGAATTATAAACCAAAGGAAAAAAAACAGAAACCCATGAGATCATATTAAATAACAGATAATAAATAAATAGGAGAAGGGAGAGGTCTTAACTAGAGTAGAATGCCAAGAGCCAACTGATAAATGTGGAGCAAGTGCTAGGGTTAAAATACATCATCCTTTTGCAACCATCACAGTAAATATTGATACAGCAGGAATCATGAATAGATGCTAAACCTAGGAGGGAAATTATGATGAGGATCAGGATATTTGTTGGTCTTAAAATGTCTCCCCATAGAAAGTTTATTAGTAACACAGGGAAAAAATCATAACCATACAGTGAGAAATGAGGCAACACATCACAATAAGGGGAAGATGGACATCGTGTGCCTTAGATATGATAGCCTGGGAAGGATACAACCTTACTGATGAAGTGTCTTACCTGGGAAGGCATAACCTTACTTTAGTCATGAGAAAACACCAGACAAACCCCAAATGAGGAATACTCTATTTTTATACAGGGGGAAAGGAGTTTGTATATCTCATCATAAAAGACAAGGAAAGTGAGGAACTACTCTAAATTAAAAGAGACAGAAATACATGACAACTAAACACAATTCATGATTATGTACTGGCTCCAATGTTAGAGGAAAAAATTTGATACAAAGGACATTGTTGGGCCAGCTGCCAAAACCAGAATGTGGACAAGTGGACAACAGATTAAATAAAAATATGCTTATCAGGGGCACCTGGGTGGGGGCTCAGTCAGTTAAGCATCTGCTTTCAGCTCAGATCATGATCCCAGGATCCTGGGATCGAGCCCAGGTCGGGCTCCCTGCTCAGCGGAGAGTCTGCTTCTCCCTCTCCCTCTGCCCCTCCCCCTGCTCATGCTCTCTCTCACTCTCTTGCTCTCTAATAAATATTAAAAAAAAAAAAAATGTGTCAATGTTAAGTTTACTGCAGGGGATAACTACTGTGGTGACATAAGGGAATATCCATATTCTCAGCAGGTACATATTAAAATATTTATGAGTAAAGGGCTCTCATGTTTACAATTAATTCCCCAAAATAGTCCCAATAACAACATGCATGTGCGCATGTGTATGTGTGTGGTGCTGCATGGGGGAGAAGGGGAAAAGGAGGGGAAGGGATAGGAGAGGGAATGAGAGAATAAATGCTCAAACACGAATGATTAAACATATGGAGTTAACTGTTAACAATAGGTGTATCTGCATAAAAGATATATGAGTGTTATTTGCTTTATTTGTGCAACTTTTCTCTAAATTTGATTATTATTTCCAACTCAAAAAACACTATGATGATACAAGCTAGAAAGTGCTGCAGTCAAGTTCTACAGTTGAGACGAGGAAGATGAGGTGCTGGGGGGTAATCTGAAAAGCTTTCTTGGGGAATGCAGCGTTTTCACTGGGCATAAGGGAGTGGGATAACAAATCAAGCAACACATTCCTTACCCTGAGGCATGCAGGTGACTGTAACGGCCAATGCGTGCCTGCCGTTATCTGGTCCAGGGATGTTTCCGGAGACTGGGAGAGGAGGGTGAAGAGGCAGCAAGCAGCCCAAGAGCCAGTGGACAGTGTCCCATGAGCTGGCACTGGCATATATGCTATTGTGAGTATTGCTCTGCAAACAGAGTCTCCTACCCACTCTGATTAAAGCCCTTTCACGTTCTAAATGTGTGAAGATAGCTCAGACATCACCATCAAAGACGAAGGCCTAGGCCATGGGACTCTCATTTCCACATGCTAAGTGGTCACTCGGCTCTGAGAAATGATAACCTCCATCCAGATCCATAAGGGCCGGGGCCAGATTCCATCATTTCTGAATCACCCAGAGCCCTGAGAACAGGGAGACCTCAATAGAGGCTAACCCACTGGTCTCACGAAGGCTAGGGAGCACTGCCAACACTGTGGCCTAATGTGAGCTTTCAGATAAGCAAGCATTCCAAATGAAAACAGGCGAGGATAGCAGAAGTGTGAGGCAGGCAGGGCAGATGTGAGATCTGCATGCTAACCTGTGAGAGCAGGAGGCCGGCAGAAGGTATCCAATTCAGAATATACCCCCGATTTGGTGACATCCTTGCCAGGAAGTTAGAATCTTATATTCTTTATCCACTAAATCAACACAAGTAAAAAAATGAAAATCACCAAGAAGTAGTAACTTACCCTGGCAAGTTTCTCAGGTTTGGAGGAGACCTGCAGCTGGGAAAACAGCTCTGTTATCTCTTTGGTAAAGTCTTCATCCCCTAAAAAAACAAAAACAAAAACCAGGTCCCATTTAAGACACTGCAGACAGACAGATGGTGATGGGGGGGTGGTAAGGAGGAAGAGGGGAGACATGGCAGGAGTGGCAGCACCAACAGTCACAGCAACAGCAGTCTAAATGAGCATGGTGCATTAGTGCTTACAGAATCCTGCTGTATATGCCAATGAATCCTTTCAGTGGGCTTCTAAAAAGTGTCGTTATCCCATTTTAGAGATAAAGAAACTAGGGCTTGACGGGGCTAATTTCCCCAGACTCTCATAGCAAAGATTAGGAGTCAAACCTTGGCCTTCCCACCCCAGTCCAAATCCCGTGCTCTGTATATCATATTCCAGATGTAGGAATGAGAACTGGTTAAGGCAGAGTACTAAGCAGGTACTATGTCTGTGCTTCCAAGAAAGTGGAATTTAAGTCAGGACATAAAAAATGAGTACAACTTAGCCAGGAGAAAAGGAAGAGTCTCAGACAGTGAAAACAAGTAAAAGATGCAGAGGTGAAAGAAAGCATGGCAACAAGTTTAATATGTTTGAGAGTGTCTTAATGTAAAGGGGAGAAGAGAGGTAAGAATGAAGCTAGAAAGTCAAGTAGGATCCAGTTAAAGGGGGCCTTAAAAACATGGTGAGGGGGGCGCCTGGGTGGCTCGGATGGTTAAGCGTCTGCCTTCGGCTCGGGTCATGATCCCAGGGTCCTGGGATCAAGCCCCACATCGGGCTCCTGGCTCAGCGGGGAGCCTGCTTCTCCCTCTGTCTGCCTCTCTCCCTGCTCATGCTCTCTCTCTCTCTGTATCTCTCTGTCTCAAATAAATAAATAAATAAATAATCTTAAAAAAATAAATGGTGAGGAATTCAAGCTTTTTACTGAGGGAGTGAGGAGACACTGAATGATTTTAAAGAGAGACAGATATATCCAACTTAAACTTTAGAAAGACCCACTTTGGCTCCTGGGTGGGGGATGAACTGAAATGGGAACAAGAAGAGGAGTAGGAAGGCTGAGGCAACAATCCAAGATCCAGGTAAGAAATAATGATGGATAAGAAGAAAGGAAGAGGAAATGGGACCCCAGAATGTCAGAAGAATGGTAAGAAAGCTATTGGTTAAGAAGCCTAAGAGACGATGGGAAATACATAATGCTTATATTTGAGAAACATACAGGCAAATAGGTGAGTCAATATAAAAAACAAACAACGCATCGAAACAAATGGCAAGAAATGCTGTTTTTCTTTCTACTCATCTAAATCTTACTTAATTTCCTCAGACCAAGGCTTCTCTTAACTGTACAGTGTAGGGAGAACTCTTGTATATAGACATCTTCTAGCACTTACAATCCATATGAATATTTCTTAGTCACCAGTTAGTTCATGGCTTACCAGGGCAAATGATTATTCTTCATACCTGGTTTCTCCCCAAAACCCTTAGAAGAAAAAATTCATCTTCGTTCTCTCTCCATCTACTATCCTTTCGTCCTTCTCTCTTGGTGTTCAAGACAGAGAATTCCAATGGTTTGGTGATCCCAGGTATAATATGATTTGGTGAAAATTGATCTCCTAAATACTACAGCTATAACCTATCAAATCCTACTGCCTAAAAATCTAAAATCTGACAGGCATTTTGTTTTCCTAGCAAAGCTTCTAATTATTTGGGAGCAAGGGAGTATCTGAATCTATACTGGGATGCACGTACCCCAAGGGGTTCACAAAATAATCCAATAGAGTACTGGGGGAACAACAGAACTTTTATTTATAGACATTTATCTCATCCTTTAAAAACATCTATTTTAGGGTATACTTTAGAACGTAATATATTATTATAGTAGTACAGGTATACAATTTATAAACATCAAATGTACATACATTAAGTCTAAGTGCTCAAAAAAACTTTTACTGCTAAGGGTTGATCAAAAAAATTTGGAGATCCTGTCATGTACTGCCCACAGACCTAAGTATAAAAAGTAGTTGCTGCGATAAGGTAAAAGTTCGAGGATGGAAAGGAGGTAGGGCTAGTGCTTTAGAAGGACTCAAGAGAGGCTGGGGTCACCCTCTTCAATGGTTTTCTCTTCCCTCTGCTACCACCTCACCTTTTTTTTTTTTTAACATTTTCATTGAGATATAATACCAAGGTCATTGTTGCATTTTCATCCAAAATCCCTGGGAAAACCTGTTGGGGAGGGTAGTGCACAGCACTTCAGTGCTCTCTTTTCAGAGTCCTCATCTCTGGCAAACAGGTAGGAGAGAAAAATGTCATAGACACAAATCCATCTGTTGAGAAATGCCATTAGAGTCCTCAGAATGGTATTTAAAGATCAGGATTTCTGATTACTAAACCAAGCCAGATGTTGACTAAATTGAACAAATACTGTTAATGGTATTATGTACAAATAAATTAAGTTTACAGATAACTGGGGATTGCCACACTAGGGCTTAATTAGGAACAACAGAGCAACTTAAGTAAATAAAAATTAATTTATGGGGCGCCTGGGTGGCTCAGTTGGTTAAGCGACTGCCTTCGGCTCAGGTCATGATCCTGGAGTCCCGGGATTGAGTCCCGCATCGGGCTCCCTGCTCGGCAGGGAGTCTGCTTCTCCCTCTCCCGCTCCCCACTCTTGTGCTCTTTCTCTCTCTCACTCTCAAATAAATAAATAAAATCTTTAAAAAAAAAAAACTAATTTATGGATTTCCTGCTAAGCGTAGATCTTTACTTATGCCACCCTGATAATGAAAATAGCAGCCACCATTTGTTGAGTGCTTACCATGTGTCACACCTTTAATATTTCATTTAGTCCAACCTGAGAGAAATTAGCATCTTCTTCTTACAGATGAGAAAACAGAATTTCAGTGTTAAGTAATTTTCCAAGGTCACATGACTTAGGAAACAGCAATCTTGATTCCAAAGCCCATCCTTTCATCCACCATGCTATACTGTCTTCTCAGTACTTCAGGTAAGCTTTAAAAACTTTTATTCAAGAGCCATTTCATATCAGGACCAGTATCTTTACATAGTACATATAGCAAAATGTTATATAACCAGTCAGTGTGACTTCTTAGAATTCAGTGCAAAACACAAATGGGAGCAAAAAAGAGGACGTTCTATTCTCTTAGTATAGAATCCATACATTCTACTTTACTTCCTTCTCTCACAAGAAAGGCCCTAAGACTCTCAAGACTCTCACTCAAGTGCCCTTTTAATACACAACTTGAATAAACTAGTTAACCGGTTTTCCACCCAAAGCTGATTAAAGATAGAAAATGAGATTCGGAGGGTATTAGAAGGAAGCTCATTGATAGTGAAGAGAATTAAAAGATGGGCAGAGAAATGCACAGAATATAAAGATGTACAATTCTGGAAAGCAATAGAGACATTTCTAAAAGCATAGCAGTTTAGGATAATTTAATATAGCAGCTCTCAAAAACACTTTGGTCTCAGGATCCCTTTATACTCTTAAAACTTTTTGAGAACCCCAAAGAGTCTTTTTTAATGTAAGCTACATACCTGTCAACACTCATATTAAAAATTAAAACTGAAATGTCTGAAGTACTTAATTCTTTAAACACACCTGTTGACATAATTTTTAAGAAAAACAACTACATTTCCCAAAAAAGAAAAATTTTAGTGAGTGAATGCCATTGTTCTATATCTCTGCAAATCTCTTTGATGCCTAGCTTAAATACAGCTGGATTCTTTTACCTGCTTTTACATTCAACCTTTTAAAGTACACAAAGAAAATTCAAGCTCACATAGTTGGAAAGAGGAGAACAATTTTAATAGCCTTTGCAGATAATTGTGGATATTCTTTAATACTATACCAAAACTCAACAAATAGTTATTTCTTAAAGGTTAGTTATAATGTAGAACCTGAAGTCATATCATGAAATTTTGAATTCAGTTACATTAAATTAAAATCCACTGGTCCATCTCTTGCCCAGGCATGACTTTGTAACACCACCCATTAGTCATCTGCAAAATACTGGTTCTCTGAATTACACAAGTCTTCTAAATGCTAACATATTTAAATACCTCTAGGAAATCAAATTTGTTACTCTCACCACCAATTTCATCAAAAAAATCTGTAAGCACTGGGAAGTGGTCAAGCTCACCACAGCAACAAAGAGAAGTTTTACAAAATTCTAACTTTTGCTTAGTTTAAATTTTACTAGTCACAAGTATTTCTTTACTTCAAGTGAAGGCTCCTTTCATTCATTTTCAAGAAAATTTTTACCAAATATCCTACTCTGAACAGTCTGTGTGACTGCAATCTTTTTAAATAAAAATGGCGTTCCATTAAAAAACAGGTACTTCAGCTTATGACTCAAACAATAACAGTGCTTTTCCTTGAGACAGCTTCAGTATGCATCACACAAAAGATGAAAAATAAGTGTACTCAAGGGTCAAGACTTAGTAAGATTAATCACTGTTACTGTTTCATGAGGATAAGGTTAAATGAAACTGGCACTTTAAAAAATTTTACTTATTTATTTATTATTAACTGTGAATGCATGGCAGTGAAAATATTAGTACAGTTGGTACCACTGTCTTGATCTGTGTTAAGACACCAGTAATTTTACTCACCACTGCTTTTGCACCATCAGTGCAAATGTTAAAATGATAAATTTTTTAAAAAGAAAAAAACATTTTGGTATTTTGATGCAAAGAGTTTTGACTCATGCATTCCCTGAAGAGATCCTGGGGACCCAAGAATCTGCAGATCACACTCTTCAAACCACCGACTTAATCTGATTGGCTCATGTGTCCTGATGGACTCTGAAGGAATTTTTCTAGTCACTTTTAATATTTATAACTGATCGTATCATCAGAAAAAAAAGTCAAAAAACTGTATTCATTAGATTCTACTAAAAAAACAGTTAGTGTGTAATACATATGAGAAATATTTCCAGCTAAACTTTAAAACTCTTTAAAAGCTTAAAATTCAGTTGACTAGAAATTATGCTCTATGTAAATGACCTTGTTTCCTGATAATTTTGCAAAAATGAGTAGTTACTATACTTACATTTTCAGGAGTATGCAGATATTAAGAATATGGCATTAAAAAAAAAAGCTTTTGAAAATAAAAAAGGCAAATTATCACCCACATTTTGGATAACTGCCACCCTGCCTGCCTGAATTCAAGATGAGGACAGGGGTCACAGGACTCAGAGAGGCAGAAGAGCAGTATCTAGGGACATAAAAGCTCACAGGGATGACCATCCAGACTGAGGCAGGAATCTAACAAGGGCAATTCTCTAACCAAAAAAGCAGGCAGTTTTGTGAGTTGCAAGATGAGACCTGGAGAAATCACCAACAGTTTGAGGGGCAGAAGCGGGGAATGGAACAAAGATATGCACTGAAGACCAACTGCTCATATCAATACCTAGTCAGGGGCAAGGCAGCAAAAAGTAAAATCAGACTAGTGTAATTGAAGAGAAAATTTCAAGGGCAATAGACTGCATATAAACATGCTACATCCCTTCCACTCAAATACTGGATTTTCATATTACCTTTTTTCTCCTCTTCCTCTTCCTCACAGAATTCTGCTAGGGAAAATGCTTCCTTGAGTTGCTCCAATTCAAGTTTTAGAGTCTCTAATTCTTCTCCACTTAGAGAATTAAGAATGGACTTCACCTGAATGGATATAAAATAATAAAAAGTTATAAGTACAAAAGAAAAACATTTTCAACTGGAGAAGAGGCTACAGACCAAATTAAAACAAAAATTATGAGCTCACCAGCCAATACAAACTATTCCTTAATAATCTCAATACAAGACGCTAGTCATTACAGAAAGATAGGGAGAATTTATACTTAAAAAAAAATTAAAAGCCAGAAACATCCAGAAACTATTAGTGCTTAACAATGGCTAAGAAATTAGGGGGAAGTTAAACAGTCTTGAATCAATTAAAAACTAACAGGTAATTGTATCCAAATTGGCAGCTTAAGCCAGAGAGACTACCGAAAAAAAAAAAAAAAAAAAAGACCAAGGCAAAGGCAAAATACAAATGTGCTATTAAGACCTCCTGGTTAACCTGTCCTTTTCTATTTAAATTGAAAGAAATAACACTGGATTCATTCTATTTCTAGCAATTAGTTCAAACATTAGTTTATCTTGGTGTAGTATTTTCAAAGAGTCTCAAGCCTCCATGTCAAATACATTTCATCTTCCAACTGTACAAACAGAGAAGAAACTACGCAGCACTCCTTTGCTTGAAGACCATCCATTTGAAATTGCTGGTTTGGAATTACCTTTATTTCACTTTCTTGGGAAAGCATCTCCAGAGCTTCCAGATGTGAAAGGCCTTGAAATTCATCAAAGAGGAGCCCATAATTAGTTTTCTTGTCCGTTTCCAAGGTAACCTCATTGGAGGTCCATAGCTCTTCTTTCTCCTTTGCCTCTCGTAAAACCTGAAAAAAAGGTGGAGGCTTACCCTGCAGCAAGTAATGAGAGCTCAAGGGTGAGTTCTGAGAGCTGAGGGAAGCAAAGCTGAGATGGTAACAGGAGAGCGCACTGCCCTTTCATTCCTAGCACTGCAATTCAAGTCTGATAGGCTAAGGAGCTGCCGGGAAAAAATGGTCACACATAATTCAATCCTGGACAGGGTAAATAACACCTAAGGAACCAGGTGGAAAGTGCTTTAAACATTAATGTACTCAACAACTCTGAAAGGGCTTGTCACCTTCTACTGCACTGATAGGAGGCTCCTACAGAAAAGAAAGAGGAGGAGAAAAAGAACTGGGCATTTTTCTAAACATTTCAGATCTCACCAGCCACCCCCCACCCAAAAAAGCCTTAATAAAAGTATCACTGAAAACTTTTCAAAAGGCATTATTAATAAGGTCTACCACAGGCAAAAATACAGATCAAAACAGAAACATGAAGTAAACGGGTAAAGACAAACAGTACCTGTGACAATGTAGAATTCCGGTTCATCAGACCCTTGGTTCTTTTAAATCCAGGATCCCCTTCTGCTATTACATCCATTGTCTTTTTCCCAATGAATTCTAAGGCATCCAAACCTCCACTGATTACGCTCTTTCCCTGGGAAACACATGCAACTTCATTACAGTAATACTGAAAAAAGACATCTGCATGTTTGGATTATATAAAATAGTGGCTAACAATACCAAGCACTAGCAAGAATGTGGAGCAACTAAAACACTCCCACTGCTTGTGGGAATGTAAACGGGTTTAAACACTCTGGACAACTGTATGTCAGTATCTACTATAGCTGACCATATGAACATCCTATGACCCAGCAACTCTACACATGGTTGCATACTCAACAGAAATGTTGAGGTTCATCAAAAGATATACAAAATGGGGCGCCTGGGTGGCTCAGTCGGTTAAGCAACTGCCTTCAGCTCAGGTCATGATCCCAGGGTCCTGGGATCGAGCCCTGCATTGGGCTCCCCGCTCAGTGGGAAGCCTGTTTCTCCCTCTGCCTCCCACTCCCCCCTGCTTGTGCTCTCTCTCTCTCTGACAAATAAAATATTAAAAAAAAAAGAGAGGGGCACCTGGGTGGCTCAGTCATTGGGTGTCTGCCTTCGGCTCAGGTCATGATCCCGGGGTCCTGGGATCAAGCCCCGCATTGGGCTCCCTGCTCTGCGGGAAGCCTGCTTCTCCCTCTCCCTCTCCCACACCCCCTGCTTGTGTTCCTGCTCTCGCTCTCTGTCAAATAAATAAATAAAATCTTAAAAAAAAAAAAAAAAGATATACAAAATGTTCATGGCAGTACTATTCATAAAAGCCAAAAACTGGAAACAACCCCAGTACTCACCAACCATGGAATAAATAAATGCTACATAGTCACATAATGGAATAGAGCAAAGAAAATGGAATACACCATACCGACTACATGATGAAGAAATAATACAAATATAATGTTGAGTGAAAGAAGCCAAATGCAATAGGGTACATACTGTATGATTCCATCTATGTCAAGTTTAAAAGCAGGCAAAATTAATCTATGATGGTAGAAGTCAGAATTGTGGTTATCTTGGTGGGCAAAAGGAAGAAGCACAGATGGCTGGGAGAGGGTACAGGTGGAAAACCTATGATATACCATCACATTGGTTCTTAGGCTGAGTGTGTTCATGTTGTAAAAATTCCAACTGAATACTTATGATTTCACTTTTCTGTATATAATATTTTACTTCAAGAAATTAAAATTAAAAAGTACTAGTTATCTATCTTCATAAAGAAAGATATTAAGTTTCCTATAAAATCCTTTTAAAAATGTTTCTAATCATCTATAATTATGAGAAAAATATTTTTGTAAAGGAGGGACATTTTCTAGGGCCACCAAACTCAGAATTCATAGTCCATTAAATATTATGTACATTGCCTCTGTTACTCTTCATCTTCTGCTCTCTACTTCTTTAAAGAAAGTTTTCAAGTAGCTCCCACTCTACCCCTAAGATCAAAGTGATTGATCTTCAGCAATTTGTGGACTCCCATAACAGTAATCAGTCCTCGTGGCTTTTCAAGAAAAGGAGGGAGAAAGAGATAAAAAAAAAAAAAAAAAAAAAAAAAAACACTATATTCACAGAGGGATACAGTCTACCATGCATTTTACTCACTGTGGTCTGAACAGCAGTAGAGATGGTTGAGAATACACCAAATGGCCCAGTCAATGGGGAAGAGTTTGCATTCTCTTTGGCATTTGTCTCTCCTATAGGAGGAAGGGGATGTGTAAATATGAAGGGATGATCCATAAATAGTTTTCTTTATCAGCATCTATGTGAAATTTTAAAAATTAGGCCCTGCTTCCTATACACAGGGTAGCCTTAGCCCTTTTTGTTTTATTATTTTAAACTATTTACCTATTTTAAAATGAAAACATAGCTTTTTTCATTTTCATTTCATTTCAAAAATAAAATCCAGTCATTTGAACTACTGGTATATGTAGCAATACATTTTATACTGTATGATTCTATGTATACCATCTTCTGGACAAAGTCAAACTTTAGGCGGAAAATAGATTAGCAGTTGCCAAAAACTGAGAGTAACTGATGGGTGTGACCACAAAGGGGCAAGAGGAGTCTTTTAGGGGGTGATGAAAATATTCTTACATTTTGATTATCTATACACATACAGGAAATATTCTATACTGTATAATCACAATGGACTGTGATTATACTGTGTAAACAGGATATGTTCGTTGAAACACATAAACTGTATACCTTAAAAGAGTAACCTTTACTATATGTAAATAATGCATTTACATATAATTTACAATTAATTACACATATAAATTATAAAATCAATAAATCTGACTTTTTAAAATATGGCCTATTTTAAATTTTATCCTAGAAAATTATGCTTATTGGAGAAAAAAAACGAGATGATCAAAGAGAAACAAGAGTGGGAGACAATAAAGCCCCTGAGAGATGGAGAAAGCAAAATCAGGGCCCGAAAACTTCCTATTTTCTGGTCCCAGGCCATCTAGATCCATGGTTATAATTCTGTCTTTTGTGGCTTAAGTGAGAGTACACTGATCAAAGCAGGTATCCAAAATTAAATTTCACCCTCATAAAAATCCAAACACAAAAAATTAAACCCTTAAAACTAAACATGTTAAAATTTTTTTGTGTGTCACAACAGAGTCAAATTCAGCTAATTCTTCTTAGGCTCTTACTCATTTGTGCCAAACACAATGCTAGGCAATTCTTATATTCTACATTCATGGCTTTATTTAATGTTTTTAACAGTCCTTTGACACAGATCCTCCCATTTCATAGATGACTAAAGTGGCTAAAGGACACAGACCTCTGTTAGTCAAAGATTCCAAACCCCTTTCTCACCAATTCCATGATGCCCTGAATATCAGACACTCAATAAATATATACTGAAAAATGAGCTCAACTGTTCCATTTTAACCCATAATTCTAGGTCTTAATGTTTCCACATACTGACCTGTTGCATACTGGACTTCGGTTGAAATTTCACTGGGACTAGGAATTCCAAGAGAAGTCTCTGCCTTCTCAATGACATTTGAAATACCTTGTCCTAATGAGGAAAATGGTAACATTTTTACATTTGAATATTACTTACTATTAATCACCAAAACTGAAGAAACAAACCAAAACAATCCTGCAGATTTTTAAAATCACTATGGTCACAGACATTTTATTCTGACCATACATAACTAATGTTTGGAAGTGTAATCTTACCAGAAAACAAAACCAACAAACTTGATTTACCACCACACAATAGTTTTATATTAACAATTTCTGGTTAATGAGAAAACGAGAAACTCTAATAAGAAATGCTAATGAGAAGATGCTGTAAACTCGAGCTATACTATAAATCAGCCCATCATTCCTAATGAATTCTCAAACTATAAAGCCCTTAAGTAAACATGGAATAAGAATTATTAACAAAGTCATTTTTAACACAGATCTGTAGCAACATACACACAAAAATTAGCAAAATGATGATCTTACCTACTGTAGCTACTGTAGCTGAGGCTGAAGAGAGTAAGGACTTGCCCCAGCTGCCCCAATATCCCCAACCAGTCTGAGGTACATCTTTGGAAACAGTCTCCTATTCTTCCCAGTAGGCAGAAAAACAAAAGGCAAAAGAAAAGGGAAAAAGTAGAGAATAAGAGAGTGTATAGACAGGTATCTAATTATTAGTCCAAAGTACAGGTGAAGAAATACCTATCATTAAGCTAAAGAATTGTGTTGCTTGCCTGACAAATGTTATGTCGCCTGCATTTAAGCACCATGTAGCAAAGGCAACTACTCATAAAGTCATTTATAAAACTAAGAAAATTGTGTTTTATGGCTTTTAAAGAAAAGAAATAGATACAATCTTAAACTGGTTTTGGTTCCAAATTCCTTTTAACCCTAACTTTTAATCCCAGCGTTTTAACAGATACTCTACTTTGCCTACAGCCTGTGATGCCTCAACAGGGAGAATTTCTGAAGTCTCGAAGTCACTGGAAGGTTTGGACTCCGGTCTTTTCCGAGTGATAGCTACAGGTTCGGATTTACTCTCTGGCTTGGCACTTTGGTCAACAGACTCAGAATTCTTGGCTGGTTCACAGTTCCCATCTTCAAGAGTGGAGGATGCTTCACTTATCACTGGAGTCTCAATATCATCTTTCTCTGACATGATTAGATCATTGCCTGGTAAAAAAAAAGTCAAAGAAAAAATTATTCTTATAGGCTTTTTTGCTGTAAGTTATTCAAGCTATTTATTTTGAGATTATCATACAGTCACATGCAGGTGTAAGAAATACAGACAGTTCTGTGTATCTTCCACCCGGTTTCCTCCAATGGCAACAACTTATGTAGTAACCACAGTGGAATATGACAACCAGGAAATTGATACAACCCACTGACCATCTTCAGACTTCATCAGTTTTATAGGCACTTATGTATGGTTACTTAGTTTGTGAAATTTTATCATACGTATAGATTTGTGTGACCATCACCACACTAAGGATACAGAACAGTTCAATCACAAGGATCCCTTGTGTTGTCCTTTTTCAGCCACATCCCCTTCACCACCACCCCCATCACCAACCCATAGCAACCTCTAATCTGTTCTCCATCTCTATACAAGATGTCATATAAACAGATTCATACAGTATGTAACCTTTTGAGATCAACTGTTTTCACTCAGCATAAGTCCCTCAAGATCCATCCATCCAAGTTGTTTTACCTATAGTTTCTTCCCTTTTTTGCTGAGCAGTATTCCTTGTGTATGAATGTATTTCAGTTTGTTTTATCATTTACCCATTGAAGGATATCTGGGCTGTTCCCAGTTTGGGGCTATTACAAATAAAATGGCTACGAACATTAACATACAGGTTTTTGTGGAATATAAGCTTTCACTTCTCTGAAATAAGTGACCAAGAGTGCAACTGCTGGATCATGTTAAGTACTTGTTCAGTGTTATAAGAACTGCCACTCTTTACATTTACATTACCATCACTGATGTATGAGTGATCAAGTTTCTCAGCATTCTCACCAGCATTTGGTGGGTTTTTTTTTTTTTTTCCTTTTTTGAGCCATTCTGACAGGCGTGTAATAATAATCTCACTGTGCCTTTAAGCTGTATTTTTATAATGGCTAATCATACAGAACATCTTCTCCTGTGCTTATTTGCCATCTGTATATCCCTCTTAGTGAAATACCTATTTGTATCTTTTGCTCATTTTCTTTGGGGGTTTTGTTTTTTTCTTTTGTTTTATTACTGCTTTGAGAGTTCTTTATATACTCTAGATTCAAGTCCTTTGTCAGATATGTGGTTTGCAAATATTTTATCCCAGCCTGTAGCTTATCTTTTCATCGTCTTTACAGGGTCTTTCACAAAGCAAAAGTTTTTCATTTCAATGAGGTCCAATTTATCAATTTTTCCTTTTATTGACTGTCATTAAAAAATCTTAGTCATTATTTCTACCTCAATTTATGAATTATAAAATTTAAGCCATCAGATAGAATCTAAATCAAACTAGCTTTTGAGCAGCAATGTTAACCAATTCAGTCCCTACCATAAGTACAGCTCTTTAGCAATTAAAGCCAAGATACCACTGGTGTTTTTACAAGAGGCAGATGCTGGTTTCCAAGATAACCAAGTAGAGGAGAAATAAAGATAACCAGAGGAGAAATAAATGTATATATACCAAAGCCTTAGGTGTATATATAAGCATTTATTTTAAACCAATATTTACCAAGTGCAGAATTAGACCCAATTCAAGCCATCAAATGCTTCCAATGTACAAGAGAAAGTCATATTAAGAACTAAGGCAGCTTGGCAGGTGCACCGGGGTAGCTCAGTCAGTTAAGCATCTGACTCTTGATGTCCACCCAGGTCATGATCTCAGTGCTGTGAGAGCAAGCCCCGCATCAGACTCCATGCTGGGTGTGGAGTCTGCTTAGGAGTCTCTCTCCCACTCTTACCCCCTGCCTCTGCCTCTACCCCTGCCTCTCCCTCTACCCCTCCCTCTCAAAAAAAAAAAAAAAAAGACCTAAGGCACCTTGGAAACAGCACTATAGGTGAGGTATATATAAAATGCTAAAAGAACAGAGAAGAAAAACTCTGCTGGGATCAGAGAATATGATTCATGCACAAAGTATCTGAAATAAACATAGAACAGTGGCCACAAACTGAGAATGTGACTGCTAAATCCAGCCTTTAAATGTTATTTGGCCTGCACAGTGTTTAAACTTTTATATTAATTGCTAACATTTAAAAATCAGACTTCATACATGAATACAGATTTTCAACTTCTCTAGTAAAGTTGAAATATCTGGTGACACTGGGCCTGCTTTTAACATGGTAATAATTAGCTCAAACCAAAGAGTTCCTGGGTCTTTTTAGGCAGGATAATGTTCTCTAGTTCTCTATAATCTCCACCTAAATCTACTTGACTCATTTGTTACCTTATTAGCCCCTGTATACATCTGAGCTTGCAACACCTGTCTTAAAGGGCACTTGGGATTTTGACAGGTGAAGGTGCCAATGAGAAAATTCAAAGGTGTGGAAACAAAACATGGGAAGTGTGAATGGAATGGACAGACATGGAATATCGAAAAATAACAGTAGTTAATATAGCAGGGAGAATAACAAAAAGGCATAAGGCTAGAAAGGTAGATTTACACAACACCATGGAGCCTAGATCATATGGATATATGATATACATACATTATACATTCCCAAAACACACAGAAAAAAAAATTCAGATGCAACTACCCACATACATGCAAACCAACTCTGAAATATTCATTCATTTGCAAACTTTTTTTGAATACCTACTATGTACCAAGTTTTGGAGACTGAGAATTTATTTATGACACAATTTCTGCCCCATTTACTCCAAGAACCTAATAGGAAAGACTACACAGTTCTTGCATAAAGTTCAATCAATGTTTTCTGTGGCTAAATATGTACCTTTTTTACACTATCATTTCACTTTCTTTATATGCTCTTTCCAAATTACAACACATAATAATATATATTTTATAAGTGGTATACCATATACAGCAGTCCCCTTTATCTGAGGTTTCAGTTACCTGTGGCCAACCACAGTCTCGAAGCAAATGATTCTCTTTCTGAGGTGTTGTCAAAAGGTCGACAGTAGCCTAATGCTACAGCACAGTGCCTACATCATTCACCTCACCTCATCTCATCTCATCTCACCACACAGGCACTTTATCATCTCTCATCTTGGAACATATCACCTGCAGATGAGGGGCAACTACTATATAATATATAATATACATATTACATAAGTAATTCATATAATCTTATAAAAGGCTGGAAGGACATATTTCAAAATATTAAACACTGGGTCTACTCTTTCATTTGTGCAACAAAGATTTAATGAGCATCTAGAATGTGCTAGACATTTGGCTAGGTGGAAAGGTGGTGGCTGTTCATATTCTCATTACCATCACTTTCATCATTATAATGGCTGTGCTATCCCTGTTCTCAATGGATTCATACTTTACCAGGAAAAGCAAAAAAAAAAAAAAAAAAAAGGAATAAATTTCAGGTATACGGAATCGCACTAATGTTTTTGTAAGTTTTCCAAGTATCCTGGTAGTGAGTGTAAGTTATTTTCATAATTGGAGTGGAAACACTCCAAGAACTGAAACATTACAAGTAAAATTAAATGGCTGAGTCCTTTCTTAAAAATAAAAATGCACACATTTTTATGTACACATATACCTCCCCCCATTTTCCTTGGGAACTTCCAGCCACACAGTTACCAAAATGGAAGGGGTTTAGTTTAGCAGCTAAGAGCACGGGCTCCGGAATTCGATTTTCTTCCAACTTTCCTGAGGGCGGTTAACTGCGAGGAAGTCAGTTCACCTAGCTGCTTCTCCGCTTCCTCAAGTGTAACACGGGGCTAGAACACCTGCCTGGCAGGATTCCTACAAGGATTCCACCACATGAGGTACGCGAGGGGCTTGGAACAGAGACTGGCACATAGCCTCGCATAGGTAACAGTTGCTATTAGGACGGAGGAGATGGTTTGTGTCATTACTGTCGTTATTGACATTGGCCGTCTCTAGACGGGCAAACAGGCGCTCTCACTTCTTCCCGCATACAAGACCAGTCCCAAACGGGACATCTGAGGTCAACAAGCGCCCCCAACTTCACCGACGCTGACAAGGAGAGTTCCTCACACAAACGTAGAGCTTCAATAACCAAAGCGCTTTACAGCCTGCGCGTCCAGCCGGGAGGTGTCGGCAGCCCAGCCCCAGACCACCTCCTCCCACTCCCCAGCCACCTGGAGGGTCCGGCCCCGAGTCCCGAGCCCCCGCACCCCGCCGGCCTCCTCCCTGGAAGCCCCGCACCCAGCCCACCGCCACCGCCACCGCCAACCTCACCGCCTCCGGAGCCGCCGAGAAACCCCTCCTACTGCCCCGGAAGTATTCCTTCAGTGCGAGGCGGTCCCGCCTGCCCGAGAGCACTTCCGGGTCAAGCTTCCGCTCGGGCCAGAACAAGCTGAGCTGTCAGTCTGGTAAGTGAGGGTCTGTCGGGGTCGTGCGGAAAGGTACTGGGGCTGCTGAGACGTGTGTTTGAGCCGATGGGTCGGGTTCCGACGTCAAGGGAGCTGGGATATCCCCGGTCCTTTTTGAAGGCCAGGGCTGAGCTGCAGTTCAGCCGTCGTCCGTTTCCTGAGCATCAGCTACCTGCCAGGCACTACCCTGGGGGCCTGGGACACACCGGTTACAAGCCGACACTGGCCCTGCTCCCAAGTAGTTGACATTCTGGGGCGAGGCCGACTGTAAACAAGTCAGCAAGCAAACACTGTTATCTGAAATGGGGGTGGGGGGGAGATGGTTGTGAGTACTTTAAAGAAAATTAAGCAGCATAATGTAATTGAACAAAGTGAGGGAGTAATCCTCATGAAGATCTTGAGGAGAGCATTCGAGGGGGCAGGAATAGCAAGTGCAAAGGCCTTATAGTGGTAAACTTAGCAAGGTCAAGGAAAAGAAAAAAGGCCACTGTTACTGGTGCAAAAAGAGGAAGGAAGATGAGGCCAGAGGCTTAAATGGGCCAAATCTTGTAGTGTCTATGAGTCAGGACAAGGAGTTGGACTTTTATTTGGAGAGCAATGGAAACCATTGAAGGTTTCTATGCAGAAGAGTGATGTGCTCTGATTTATGACTCTAAGACTGACCTTCATTAGAAAGAGGCATCTCTTCAATTGTCTTTTAGCAGTGAAAATGCATGAAACCCAGGCTGAAAGCCAGAAAGAGGCATTACAGACAGCTTCATTGTACAGATGTGAAAAACCAAGTCCCAGAGAGGTGAAGGGATTTGGTCTTTTAAGAACCGAGGTCTTCCAAATCCATCTGTTGCCTTCAGAATTATCATCTCAGTGTCCATATATAATAATTGTCACTTCCTAAAACTTCAGATAGTTTCCTTTGCTTTTCATAGTGGTTCTCCATACTTAAGGGCATCACTGTCACCTGGTAGCTTGTTAAAAATGCCTATTCTAAAAACAAAAACAAAAAAATCTGTATAAGTATAAAATAGGTAATTTCCTCTGGTTTTCTGTGGTGATGGAAATTGCATAGAATTTGTGGTTTCATTGTGGAATCTCTGGTAAATCACTTAACCGTGTCTTACTCTTACATTTAAAATGCTGCTGATAATAATTATAGCAGCAGTTTTCAAACATTTTGATCTCAGGATCCCATTACACTTGTAAAACTTACTGAAAACACCAAGGAGTTTGTGTATGTGACTTATATCTATCAGTGCTTACCATTTTAGGTATCAAAACAACTTTCAAAAATTTATTTAAGATAATAAATTCATTATGTGTTAACATAAGTAGCATTTCTATGAAGAATGTTTTCCAAAACAAAAAACTTAAGAATGGCATTGTTTGGGGCGCTGGGTGGCACAGTCAGTTAAGAGTCCGACTCTTGATTTCGGCTCAGGTCATGATCTCAGGGTCATGAATCGAGCCCCACATCGGTCTCCGCACTGGGTGTGGAGTGTGCTTAAGATTCTCTCCATCTGGGGCGCCTGGGTGGCTCAGTTGGTTAAGCGACTGCCTTCGGCTCAGGTCATGATCCTGGAGTCCCTGGATCGAGTCCCGCATCGGGCTCCCTGCTCGGCAGGGAGTCTGCTTCTCCCTCTGACCCTCCCCCCTCTCATGTACTCGCTCTCTCTCATTCTCTCTCTCTCAAATAAATAAATAAAATCTTAAAAAAAAAAAAAAAGATTCTCTCCATCTCCCTCTGCCCTTCCCCGACCTCTCCCCGACTCTTTCTTTCTCTCTTTCCCTCCCCACCCTCCTCTCCCTCTCAAAAAAATAAAAAATAAATAAAAGAATAACATGTTTTTACAAGTCTTTTTAATATCTGGATTAATAGAAGATAGCTAGATTCTCATATCTCCTGCATTCATTCTCTGGTGATAGCACTCATCATGTAGCATCTGGAAAATTGCACTATATTGTGTGAGAATGAGAATGTAAAGGCAAATAAGATCCTATTATTATTATGAAAATCATTTTGAAAAAGTCCCAGGGACCCCAGAGGCCCCAATACCACACTTCGAGAATCACTGGATTGCAATGTTGTTATGACAATCAAAGGAAATATGGGCTCGATTTGTAAGTCATTAAAACTATATGCACATTAAAAAGCAGATGCTCAGGCCTTGCCCTTAGAGGTGCTAATTCAGTAAGTCTGTGTGGGGCCGAGAAATATTCATCTTTAACAAGCACCACAGATTAATTTGATATAAGTTCTCAAAAATTGCAATTTGAGAAGACCAGTTACAGATCAAATTCACCCTAGAGGGTTTTCCCCACTAAAATTTTAAAAACTCTATTTCCATATCTTGAAAAATCTCCATTACACTTTCCAGAGACTGAGACTCTGGAAAGTCAGCAAGAAGTTTGTAGCAAGTACCTTTCTAACGGCCAGGTTGATGAGGATCTGAATTCAAATTGTTGAATCCAGTCCTATGCCAAAGACTGAGAAAGTTTTTAGACTGTGATCTGTAAGCTTATAGTCTTTTGGACAAATAGATAACTGATAGAAGAGGGAAACTGGTAAGTCTTACAATTGAGTACTCTCAGTGTGCTAGGCGACTGACAGAGCAAAAGAAATTCATCCAAAATGAAGAGGATAAAGGTTGAGAGGACTTCTTGAATAAGGTGAAATTCGAGTTGGATACTATAGAGAGGGTGGAATTTCCACAGGAAGATATTGGTGGGGAGGAGCGGGGAGTTTCAAGCAAAAGGGACAACTAGAACCAGAACTTTAAAGTAAAAAGTTATTTGGAGAGATTAGAGTGAAACAAGTGTAGTTAAGGCTTTGAGCCATGACAGGAAGCTGGGAAGATTATCAAATTAAGCAAAGAAGGGAATGATAATGATAATCAGCCTCCAGATGAGGAAACAGAGCGCTATAGATCATAGCTAATTGGTGACAGAGGCGTAACTGAAGATCAAACTTCTAGATCCATTCATTCCTTCAGCAAGCAATTATTCCGCACACAGATACTACTGGGCTTCCTCCGGCTATTTCTGTTCTGCCACCTGAATCTTCCTGAAAGTTATGAATACCTGACCAAAATTTTAAGCTCATCTCTTGGGCAGTGGAAAACCAATAGATTTTTAAATCATAATGACTTTCTTGGATTAGTTCTGGACTAGTTCTGAGAAGAGCAGTGTTTGGGATATAGTTGGAGTTAATGAGACCCATTTAGAAATTAGAAGAATAGTATGGTGCCCAGGTAAGGTAAAAGGACTGTGACCTAGGGTGGGGACACAGTATGATTTAATTGAAAAACATCTAGGAAGTGGAATAATAATAACAATAGCATGTATTTATAATATACCCACATTAGTTCATCTAATGCTCATAACTACCCTATGAGGTCATTACTGTTAATTACCTTATTCAGTAGATGTGAAAACTAAGGCCTCACAATCCCATGGCTTCGTGCAGGGATCGGATCAGGCACTTCAGTCCATGCTACTAAACAAGAAGCCATGATGGTCTTGTAACTTGGATCTTGCAAAACTGAAAGAATTATATTGTGTGGCTATCATCCAAGATATGTATATACTTGACAAATAGGTCTGAGGGTGAGAATGAGAAGTTCTGTTTTAGTTATACTGAGTTTAATTTTTTAGACTACAGAGAAAAAAAAAAGTGGGTAAGGAGATCGTAAATATAGGCCCATTACATCCTACATCCAGTAGGTATCTTTGTCATTTGCAGCTAGTAGCTTCAGCAGATGCTTATGGCAAAAGTGTATAAGTCACAGTTATAGGAAATAATCCTGAATTTAAAACAAAGCTCCGGTAAATACAGAAGAAGGTGTTTTTCAGTGCGCCAGAAAATATGTTGAAGTTTGAGCTGAGTGCCCAAATGCCAGATACGAAGTGTGTGATGGCTCCAAGATATGACTGGGAGCGTAAGGGCTGTTTTAATTAGGATCTTTTCAGAAAATGATCCTCAAAATGGTGATTTCTGTTGGAGTATTACTAACCCTTTTATGGTTCAGATCTCTATCATAATGCTTGAGTATAAGCAGAACAGCTTTATGTTTGTTCTTGGCAAAGAATAGGGGAATAGTAACAATCTGCTCTTCATTTGCTTTTTCTCCCCCTTGCCAATTCGGAATGCCACTTTGACCATTTGTGTGCCCGGCGTGGGGGATCTTCTCCATTTTCCAAGTGTAACAGTGCAGGCAGAGAAGAGTAGATGAGCTGTAAATACAACGTAGACCACATTTAATTATGGAGAATAAAGCATTAATATCCCAGTATACTTGAAACCAATACCATCTGGGCATCAGTGTTTTTCCCCACTTTGTGTTATCCCAGGACTATTTCTGCAAACAGCAGTTTCCTCAGCCAACTTAATACTGAGCCATGAGAATGGAAATCAGCACATTACTTCCTTATTTACTTCTGCTGAGAATTGGAGCAGAATGGAAATATTTCTTCTCCCTGAAGTTGGCAGGAACAGCAACAAGGCTATCTGTTAGGGATGACAGCTTAGGGGCTTTTCTTTGTTCTTTGTTTCTTTCTTTATTTTTTTATGACAGTATTTAGAATGGTTCTATTGGGTAAAATCATCTACATTTCTGATTATTCATGATCCTAGAAGAGCTTATATTTTATTGTACCTAAAAGATGAAAAAGGAGCTGGATTAAATTTGAGTATCACTTTTCTGTGGTGGCTAAAGAAAGGTAATAAAACATTCTACCAAGTAACTTCACCCACAAGCATAGCATAGCCCTTTTTAACTGTTTGTAGGAAGGTGGCACTTTGATTTTCCTTTTTGAACTCTTTCCTCTTAGCCTCAGATGTGAACTGCAGCATTAAGAAATAGCTGGCTCAGCAGCAGTTTAAGAGTGTTCATAGTATTTTTCTAAACCCTGTCTTGTAGGTTTCTCTAAACTTCTAATAGAGGCAAACTGTTGTGTCTGTGCAGAATAGGAAC